TATATATATAAAATTATATCTATTTATCATCAAGACTATACAGGCAGCTCCCATTATGCATAAAACTCCTCTGGCCAGGACAGACCCATGTGTAAGTCTGTGTCACGCCACCCAGCTAAATTCGCCAATTTTAGAGGGTTTCTTGAGGATCTTGTTGTATCTTTAGTGTTTTCTTTGCTGGCAGATGTAATTTTTGTTGCCATAAATGATAGAATTTGACACCACACCACACCAGGCCGTTTGTCAACAACGTTTTCAACAGTTCAACCGCACGCATGTGCATGCACACACAGGCACAAGAAAGGAGAAGTGCAGGGGCTCGGGGAAAGGCAAGATTCCTCTTTAAGGCACTCAAACACAAAGCAAAGAGCCACCTCTAGTCAAGTTATGGCAAAGAGGCCAAACACCAATTTACACCGAAGCAAAGTGAAAAACACACTGGGATTTGACTCGACATCATGGTTTTTCATGCTGTCCAAAATGTTGCTTTTGGGTAGGGATAACCTGAGCATCAACATCTAAAATCTGCCTCATCAGAGCGCTCTAATAATAATTCAGTTGCCAGTGATTTTTAAATGTGGGTGGAAAAAAAATAAAGCAGGTTTTGCTGCTGTAAAGTTCTGTGTGATAGAGGGGAATGGTTGCAGATCTGAGAACAGTTTTAAACCCATCATTGGCTAATGGCAAGCACATCATTTGGGAAACAACAGAATAAATGCATTGTTCCATCCCAGCACTTTACTATTCAGCCAATCTAAACTGCTGAGGAAATATGTGTTTGGGACATTTTACATCTGTTTTTGACAAGAAGCCTGGGTTTTAGTGTGTGTGTGGGGGTTAATCTATTTGCTGCAGCTTTTTTAGCCAGATTAGCATGGGAAAAGGGACCCTATTTTATAAACGGAGAGATGATCCTTTTAAAGAGCAACTCTACTTTGGCTTTTTGCAGTTGAAATGAGGGCAGAGCATGCAAAAAATAGCAACCAGTAATATCCATAAAACACGACAGCAGCTTTACCTATTTAAATGAAACTAAAAAACAGGCACTTGTGCATTAATGGGCAGAGTAACCAACTTGTGAACAACCTAACACTCGCAGTCTTACTTCTTCCATAGAAGAGTGTGTAGACACCTTAATCACAGCACTGAAGTACAAACCATTTAAGGATGCAAGTGAAACGTTTACTTGGAAGTGGTTTCTAAAATGATTTCAGGTCTCTGGGTTGCACCATTAGTACATCCCGGTTGAGAACTTTCTGGCTAGTTTCAGACAAGGTGCTGCAGTTGCCCCACGGTTGGGTTTTAATTTAAACGGGCCGTTTATTGCTGCTAAAACAAAGATGGATTTGCACCCTTAAAAAAGCCTGGCCAATGGGCTGGGATAAGCTTTATTTTCACCTTTAAGTAGCTGATTCTCTGCATGATGAAATTAATTCATTTTACATGTTGTGGGAGGGAGGCAAATTTCTCTCTTTTTGAGCTTGGGGAAACGGGTTTGTGGACACTGCTTTATGTACCAAGACCCAGAGAGTGACCGGCCGCATGCAAACTCTGGCTGACACAACGCAGAGCTGCTCTGCTTAATTGGCTTGAGATGAGGGCCCGATTAAAGGCCTTTTTCTTTTCTTTTCTTTTCTCCCTCCCCAAACATTACAAAGGCAACTTAAGAGGAAGTAGCTTTCTACGAATGGAAAACTATAAGGAAGGGTTTAGTGATACGAGTAAATAAGAAACTACGTCTAACACCAGCCCTTGCTTTACCAGCATTTTGGGGAAGGGAAACTGAAGAAACAGGAAAATTTGGCCAAGTTGGCCTTTTTCTTTTCTTTTCTTTTCTCCCTCCCCAAACATTACAAAGGCAACTTAAGAGGAAGTAGCTTTCTACGAATGGAAAACTATAAGGAAGGGTTTAGTGATACGAGTAAATAAGAAACTACGTCTAACACCAGCCCTTGCTTTACCAGCATTTTGGGGAAGGGAAACTGAAGAAACAGGAAAATTTGGCCAAGTTTCTTCTATCTTTGTTTGCTTTTTACTGGGGG